AAATGGTTGCAGCAGTACATGGACAGGATACTGCCAGAAATTCAAGCTGGATTCAGAAGAGGATCTGGAACAAGGGATTTCATTGCTGATGTCAGATGGATCTTAGCTGAAAGAAGAGAATACAAGAAAAATGTTTACCTGTGTTTTGTTGACTATGCAAAGACATTTGACTGTGTGGATCATAACAAATTATGGATAATGTTGTAAAGAATGGGAATTCCAGAACACTTAATTGTGCTGATGAGGAACCTGTACATAGACCAAGAAGCAGTCATTCAAACAGAACAAGGAGATACTCTGTGGTTTAAAGTGAGGAAAAGTGTGGGTCACGGTTGCATCCTTTCACCATACTTATTCAGTCTGTATCCTGAGCAAATAATCCAAGAAAGTGGACTGTACGAAGAAGAACGGAGCATCAGGATTGGAGGAAGACTCATTAACAACCTGAGTTATGCAAATGACACAACCTTGCTTGCCTAAGGTGAAGAGGACTTGAAGCACTTAGTGATGAAGATCAAAGTCTACAGCCTTCAGTATGGATTACACCTCAACATAAGGAAAACAAAAATCCTCACAACTGGACCATTAAGCAAAATCATGATAAACAGAGAAAAGATTGAAGTTGTCAAGGATTTCATTTTATTTGGATTCGCAATCAATACCCATGGAGGCAGCAGTCAAGAAGTCAAACGACACATTGCATTGGGCAAATCCACTGCAAAAGACCTCTTTCAAGTGTTAAAAAGCAAAAATGTCACCTTGAGGACTAAGGTGCACCTGACCCAAACATTGGTATTTTCAATCACCTCATATGCGTGTGAAAGCTGGACAATGAATAAGGAAGGTGGAAGAAGAATTGATGCCTTTGAATTATGGTGTTGGCAAAGAATACTGAATATACCATGGACTGCCAGAAAAATGAACACATTGTCTTGGAAGAAGTACAGCCAGAATGCTTCTTAGAAGCAAGGATAGTGAGACTTCTTCTTACATACTTTGGACGTGTTATCAGTAGAGACCAGTCCCTGGAGAAGGACATCATGCTTGGTAAGGTAGTGGGTCATCAAAAAAGAGGAAGACCCTCAACAAGATGGATTGGCACAGTGCTGCAAAAATGGGCTCAAACATATCAATGATTGTGGGGATGGTGCAGGACCGGGCAATGTTTTGTTGTGTTGTACGTAAGGTTGCTATGAGTCAGAACCGACTCAACGGCACCTAACAACAACAACTACCACCTCATCGAATTGTACTGAAAACTAAATGAGGCAATGTTTTTGGCACACAGAAAAATGTTAGCTCATTATTGTTCCTTTCCCAGAGCCTCAGTTTCTTCATCTGTGAAACGGGCATCCTCTTACTCATTTATGCATTCATTTACTCAACAAATGCAATGCCTGTGTGCAAGGCATTGTGGTTAAGACCTAAGGCCTTTAAAGAGGTGAGTAAGGCATGTCCCTGCCATGAGGAACTGTGTGCTGTGGGATAGCACATCAGTAGTAAAAACCCAGTGGGAGAAGAGCCACAGTATGTGTGAGGTCTATGGGGGCCAGCTGTGTGGGGGCAGGGAGCTATCACCAGGGTTTCTGTGAGCTCGCTAGGGAGATTGTAGAAGGTTATGTGGTATCACCAACTCTGTGTAATCACATCCACCGACATCACATCGGTTTGAAATGAAGTTGCTCCCTGTGGGCTCTGGTTTTTATAGATGGGGCTCGTGAAACGCAGGTCAGTTCTGCTGCAGCTGGACTTTCTACTCCGGCTCACCAAGCATGCCAGAGACTGGTCGGAGTGTCAGAATCACAGTGGGAATCCCATTCAAATAGGCATTTCCTTCTGAGACCTAGCCTTGCCTTTCTCCCCTTCTGGGTCTTACCTTCTCAGGGGACTAAACAGTGATTCCCTTTCACTCTCAATGCAGAATAACGTGCACAGTGCTGCCAATGAGTGGTAGGTGCCTGCCGAGTTTCCAAACACAAGCCTGCTCCTTCCCCAGGTCGGACCCAGTGAAGAAACGCTCCGGCGTTGGGGACTCAGGAGAAGCCAGGTCTCTGGGCTCCTGCATCCAAGTGGGTCACATGCTTGTCTCTGGTGTTCACAGTCGTGTCCAGGGAAATGACTCCTGCCAACCAAACTCATGAGAGACTGAAACTCCTGCATTAGAATTTTGCATTTAAGTTGGGTGTATTTGTGGGATTTAAAGCAAGCCCTGGTGGCACAGTGGTTAAAAGCTTGGCTGCTAACCGAAAGGTCATCAGTTCAAATCCACCAGCCACTCCTTGGAAACCCCATGGGACAGTTCTACTCTGTCCGGCAGAGTCAGAATTGACTCAACGGCAATGGGGTATTCATATCCAGTGAGCAAGATATTTGCTCCTAGTGCCCAAGGCAGTCTTTTGCCTTTTCTTTTTAACTGAAAGAAATTTACAGGCCAGGGCTATTTAAATACCAGGGGAGGGTCTGCTGTCAGTGGGCTGGCCAGGGAAGGAGGGCAGTCTGAGTCCCAGTGGCCCATCTGCAGCAGGCCTCAGGGAAGAAGCAAGATTTACAAGGTGAGAGCCTGCCTGGGCCGCTTCTTCTGTCGGGAAAGGCCTCCCTGCAGTATTTTCTGTCTTGTCAATGCTGCATTTCATTTTAAATTGCAGCTGAAAACAGGTATTTTCCCTCTTGCCTATTACACCTCTTAATTTGTCTCTCCCTCTGCTATTATTTGTCTCTATAAAGTATTTTGCATGAAAGACCCACACAGCACAGTGTTGCTCTGCCCTGGGATAGGTTTAAGAGGACAAGAAGACACAGGGAGGCTTTGGTTCAAGGAGGAAGGTGTGAAGAAGGCCTTAACTGGAGACACACGTGTCTGAGCACATATACCTGACAAGGTGCACATGTGTATGCTTTGGATGGTATCTGTTGTCTGACAGAGTCTATGCGTATAGGTGTGCACATGCCAGTATTTGTACACATATGTATATGTGTGTGTGTATTTCTGTATAATCACTTGGGTGTCCATACCTAAAGTGTTTTTGTGCAAGTACACAGCCTCACACCAGTCTGTATGCGTATCTATCTATGCATAGATGCACATGCATGCACACAGGCACACACAGGCATCCAGGCGCATATACGCCAAATGATGTATGCGTTCCTTTGTGCCCATGCCCAGGGTTCCTTCTCTCTCTCCTTTGCCCTCAGGCTGGAGTTATTCTGTCTCTGCCCCACCCAGCGGCCTTGCCCCAGTTTGGGGTTACAGAAAACGGAAGGCAGAGCAGTGGTCTGCGGGGTACCAGTGGAACAGTCGTAACCCGGCCCAGCAGCGGCCACAGCTCCCTGGCTTGGCTCCAGCCACACCCCTCCCTCACGGTCGACTACAGCAGTCCCACCGTGGCTCCCATGGACTCTGGGGACCCCTGGACAGCCACCAGGAGCGTGGCCCGCAGCTGCCAATACCAGGCTGGCCCTGAAGGGGTGAGAGAGATCACCCAACGACTGGCAGAGACCTCACGACGAGCCCTGTCCCTTGCCCCCTCTGAGTGACCAACAACCAGAGCAGCGCGGGCGGAGGTAGAGGGAGGGGGTCTTGGCCGCTCCCAGTCCAGCAAACGCTGGGCAGTAACCAATGGGCGACTGCGGCCCAACGGGGATACCTCGGAGGCAGCCAATGACCTCGCTCCGCTCTCCACCCCCGCCCTCGCCAGCCCCGCGCAGCTGGACCATTGGTGCTGATGGGATGAGGGGGAGTGTGCGCCGCGCTGGCCTTTTGGGCTAGGGGGCGTGGCTTGAAGTCCCGTCCCCTCTCCCCAACCTCGCTCATCCTCCGCGCCCGTTAGCTTCTCGCGCGAGGCCATTGGCCTGGCTGCCGCGCCGCGGGGGGGGTGGACCGCGGGGGCAGCGCAGGTGGGCGTGGCCTGAGGGCGTGGTCCGGCGGGAGGCGGGGCCGCAGGAGCTGTCGCAGTGAAAGCCCGAGCGGGCGGTGGTGGCGGAGGCGTCCGGGCGAGTGTGCACGCGTGTTGGGCGCAGGCTCGGCAGCGGCGGCGGCGGCTTAGCCTGCAGCGGCGGCAGCGGCCCGTCTGGAGCGGCCGCTGCGAGGACGACAGCTGCAGCGGGGGAGGCGCAGCCCGGGTTGCGCGCTCCACGGAGCCGGCAGGGGCCGGGAACAGGTGATCCCAGCGGGAGCCCCGAGCCCCGCCGAGTTGGCGGGGCGGGAGCCCGCGCTCCCGAGCGCAGCTGCAGCTGCCAGCCGCGGCTCGTAGCGGACGGGGTCCGGCTCCGGACTCGGGCTCGGGCATCCCTCCGCTCCCGGGGGGCCCGGCAAGCCCTCTGCCCTGTAGGCTCGGAAGCGCCTGGTCCAGCTCCCCGGCGGCCGCCCCGAGGCGGAGCAAAGTTGTGGACGTGTCCCGATAGCCGAGCCCGGGTGCTGTCGCGACCCGACCGGGGCGGCGCGCTCTCGGAGCGGCGGGGATACGCCAGCCCCGCACCGCCAAGCCCCCCGAGCTGGCCCCCTCTGGAAACTGCTTCCGAGGCTGAAACTTTAGGCGCCGCTGAACGCGGGAGGGAGGCCGAGGGGCTGAGAGCGGCTTGGCGCGGGGGACGAGGACACTGCTCCGCCCGGGCCTGCGGGCGCCCCTCCGCGCCGACAGCCTGGGCGCTGCGGACGGCATGTGACGGCCCCGGTGGTGGCCGCAGCGCGGGAAGGCGCGG